GCCATGGTGTTTTCCTGTCCGGGAGGTGCGTTTTTTTTAAGGCAATATATATGTTAGCTAAAAGCACACCAGCAGGAGGAGGGGCTTGTAGCAGGAGCAGCAGCAGCAGCAGCAGCAGCAGCAGGAAGCAGCGCAGCAGTAACAGCCAAAGTAGCAGCTGCAGCAGCTTACAGCAGGAGTAGGGCAGCAGGAAGGCTATGTTGATACAGTTTTTTCTACGGCTTCAGACGACATGTTAGGCACTTTTTGGGCTGCATTTTGTCGCTGTTCCGTCCTTCACTGCCACTGTGTTTCCCCGTCCAGGAGCCACGTTTTGGGACTCGGCACAGCAGTAGCAAGAGTAGCAGCAGAGGCAGCAGCAGCCGCAGCAGCAGCAACAACAAAAGTAGCAGCTGCAGCAGCTTACAGCAGGAGCAGGGCAGCAGGAAGGCCATGTGGACACAGCTGTCAAGAGCTGCCAAGAGCTGGAAATTTGTGTTCTTTAACTAGGGTTTCAGAAGGGACGTTAGGCCTCGTGGATTATCATTGCAGGGCACCATTCCGTCCCTCAGTGCCATGGTGTTTTCCTGTCCGGGAGGTTCGTTTTTACGGCAATTTGTTGGCTGAAAGATGTGGCAAACAGTTGCGGGGTGCAGAGGTGGCAAACAGGTCCAGATTCAAAACCCACTCGCTCTGAAATATCAGCTAGCAAAAATAGGCCCGGGGTCGACGGCAGGGGCGGCAGCCCTTAGATATATATATATAATATTATATATATGATGTATATGTCAACATGTGGTATAAACCCCCGAACAAAATGAAATGTTTGAAATGGAAAATGATGGAAATTTGAGACAAAGCCATCTAATCCCATACCCATGTGGCATCAAGTCCGCCTACCCGAGGGGCAAAGTAAGGAAGGCCCTATCATTCAACATTATCCACTTCGACCGTTGATCTCTGTGGGAATCGTGAAATCCAAAAGTTCTGGATAAACTGTCATCATCTGTCATCGTTCAACAACCTGAACGAAATTTTTTTGTTTGTTCGCATTCACTGCGAGTGCGCGCCCAGATTTCTCGAAACACGGACCTCATGGGACCTCATCCACGCAGGAAGGATCAAGATTTCGTTGTCGTTGAGCTGAAAAGAAGTCTACTTGGGATGATTCCTTCTCACCATTTACTAACCATTTACTAACCATTTACTAACCATTTACTAACCATAATTTATGTAATCTATATACACATTGTCACAATCTCTTCTGGTCCTGTTGAAAGTCTCGAAGGCCGAACAGCCACCCCAAACAGGCACCTTGAGCGACAAAGATTCCTTGGTAGGATGGAACACCACCGGAGATCAGAACTCGGAGCAAATTGCTGGGTGGTAAGAACTTATTAGGATGTTTTTGGGCACAAAAAGACGAAATGCATCGAAATGCATCATGGTTTTTCAAGATCATGTACTACGCCACTACTCGACCGATTGTAACATGACATGTCAATGATTCCAAGCTCCAAATCTTGCCAAGAATCAAACATCCAAGACCTTGGGCATTCGCACTTTCCCACCACTAAGCTGCGCTTGCAGCTGCTGTAAATGGTTATGGGTCCAAAATATTCCAAAATGGGGTACCCTCGTGAACATCAGAATAGCTGGCAAAAGGATGTGCATCCCCTAAAATATGGCAGAGTATCATGGGTTTTGACCCGCCCCCATCTCGCTTTGCTTTGTACAAAGCATGCAATGCGTCCGCAAACACAAACGCTGGAGGTCAGCCACTGCGGGAAAGTTCAACCATCCAAATCCAGCTAGAAAATCCAGCTATCCCCTCTCGGTGACGTACTTGACCTAGGCTTGGAACATCTAAGGTCTAACATCAACTTTTGCCAAAGCCATCGTCCAAGTAGCCTGTAGCCCGAGGCATGCCAAACGCCAAGCTCATCTGCCGTGGCCAAGCCATCTGAGGGGCCGCTGCACAGCTGTTGAATGTGGCTCTTGGATTTAGTTCACCTACGGAGTAACTATGGAAATGTCTGGGATACTGCAAATAAACCTCCAGAAACAAGGTCTTTGATAGTCTTTGGCTCTTAGGTTCAACCCTGCTGAAACGCATTCCGTGCATTGCTTGCAGCAAAGCGACAAGTGGGCAGTTCCAGCTCCTGACAAATTGGGACTTTAAACTTTGACAATGCACGTGTCTAACCTTGAAGGTCCACGGCATAGCCTGGCATGGCCTATCTACTCCTGTGGGCATGGATCAGAACACTGGTACTCTTCTGGAAATGATTTGGTGTTCTTGGTGGTTCAACTCTATATTTGTTGGCGATTAAAACTATTAAGACCTGTCAAAGCGCAATCTTTGCCACTTCAATCTTCCAAGTCACTTCTTGAAAACCTAAGTTTCACTGTGAAAAAAAACATGTGTTTCACTTTTGTCTTGAAATTCCCCTGGTCCTCTTTCTTCACTCGTCGTCCCCTGCCACCTTCTGCCACCTCCTGCAGCTTCGAGGTGGTGACATCCTTTGGTACTGCTGTTGCTGTTGTGATTTTTTGCATTTCTATTACTACCGTATATTGCCATCACTGTTATTATATGTTATTGTATGCTATTGTCACCATCCTTGCCATTCAAACGATGATTATGAACTATCATTGACGGTTAACGTCATGTTTATCATGTGTCATTGTTGTCCGCATGTTTATCATTGACATTAACACCATCATTATCATTATAATCATCATTATCATCATGATCATTATCGTTAGTGTGCAAAGAGAAAGCCTGCATATGCTCAAGAATTCAGCTCACTGCATCATAATTCTGAACATGATGAGCGTTCAACCAAAGTCAATCCGATCCCAACACCTTGCAGAGCTATCTTCTACCTTAAGATTGATCTGGGGTTTCCCAAAACTCGGGATTACCCCCAAGTGCCATCAAACTTGGGTTTTCTGAGTTTTCTGCAGCTTCCCCATAAAAGTTCAAACAGACCCACCGGTGCAGCTCCCGTCCTCAGCGATCCGCTTCAACTCTGGTGGAACTGGTTGCTCCGTGACTTCAAGGTGTGTGACCAAGTCCTGACCCGTTAAGGTCAGCTGTTTGCTTCCGGGATGATTGATGCGCTATGCGCGCTTTGCGCGCTATGGTCTTCCTGAAACATCAACTTAAGCACACAGGGTGTGCTCAGATATGCTGTAAGAATATTTTTCGACAAATTCTGGGCTTTGCTTTGCACACAGGGTTTTCTCTCTACTTGGAAGAAAGAAAGTACAGGCCTCTGCCAGATTTGGAAGACAATCAGCGTACTCAAAGAAGCAGATTGCCTGACCCTGACAGCAGGCTGCAGAATGATTAAGAAATTCCATCCAACAAAAAACGAGCAGGCCGGGGCCAATCCACATGTGACACGCGCTTTCTCTGTTCCCTCCCAGTCAGTAAAAACGATCAAGAAAGGCAAATCAAGCGCGAAACACAAGGCACAGCAACGTTTTGACCACTGAACCAGCACACGAGCAGGGCCTGTCCATCCATCCCACGAGCAGTACGCCCAATTCTGTGGATGTAATCATCAATACACCCCGGCATGTCAAACACGAAGACATGCGTCCTTAGTCATTTGAAGACTCTCGACGTGTATGGGTTGAGCATATGTCATCTCCATCACAGCCAAAATTTCCCGCCTTCAGACAAAAAAGAGCAGAGTGGAACAAAAAATCAGGATTTGGAAGGGATAGAATGCACAGAATGCATTGGATTATATTGAATTGATACAATGAGTGGGGTCACTATTGGAGGTGCATGATCAGCTGATGCATCCGCGCAAAACTGCACCCTGCTTCCCTCCATGGTTAAAGGATCTTTGAGGACGTGTAAAAGGATTAGTCAGAATTTCACATGAATGGTCGCAGCACCTTTGAAGGAAATTCTCATAAGAAGCCATGACTACTTGATCGTCGCACCCTGCTTCACTTCGCACCAATTCTCATCTGCATGTCGTGTCAATGTCAAATTTCAGCTCAATCTTCAACCTCCATTATTTAATAGTAAATACACTATACATACATAGTTTTAAAAAAAATGTGCATAAGTTTGAGTTACAGTAAATTAAGATCTCACTAGGTTGCCTCCATGATTGGTGCATCTTTGGCAGCCGTGGCGCACGTTGGGCAAGTCGATGCCGCGCCCCAGCACATCGGTCGCCACAAGCACATTGGGAGCTTGCCTCACAGGGTCCGGATATGGATGGGACCAGATTAAACGCAGTATGTGAACAGAATCTTGGCAAATCCACCAACTGCACTTGTTTGGTCTGTTTCACTTGAGTCCACTTGCGTCCATTGGGATGCACAGAAAACTCTCGCTCAAGACACTAAAGTGTATTTATCACACAGACAACAATACTGGACGATTTATTTATATATATATACATAGTCAATGATATCATGCATATTGTTCTTCATTTGTAGTTGAGAGACTTTAACAAACATGTGTTCTTGATTTCAGAAAACCAATCGGGCATCAAAAAAGCAAACCCTTTTTTTTAATCAAGCTTAGCGAGTAAAGTAGGAATGTGGGTCATTGTGTAGCCAGCCCCAGACTATGAAACCTACAACTTGCTGACCAAGATTCTCTTCGCTGCTGGTAAATCTTTCGAGGTTGTAATTACGCTCCTTGCCATCACACTAACATCATACATCAGCGTCAAGGCACGTCTTGAAACCAAACTTGAATGAAATGTGTGTTTTGTATACCGTGCAGACTGTCTGCATCATCAAGAGCATGACACTCTGTCACGGAGCCAAACGCACAATTTCTTCGCAAATTCCTGTGTTTCTTAGAGGAGATATATCACATGAGAGTCCAGCTTCTATATATATATATACACGTATATATATATATATATACGTATATTATATATATACGTATATATATATAATACGTATATTATATATATATACAGGTATATAATATATATATATATATAATACGTATATTATATATATAATACGTATATTATATATATATATATATACGTATATATATAATATATGTGTATATATATATAATATTATATATATATAATATAATATACATATACATCTATATATATAGCTCAATGATGCTCAATGGTATCTAATTGTCCGAATTAACGTCCACATTCAAGTTGCTGCGCACATAATCCGCTTCCTACTTGCATGTGCCCACTTAGCAAGGCACCACCTCAACAGCCATGCTCCTGCTGTGCCTTGCCCCCATGCAACGAAAGAGCTTCGCAACCTAGCCATGCATAAAGACCAGCAGAGTGAATTGAAGAACTCAGAGATGGTGGAGACACGTGGAGACTATACAAACAAACTTTGCATCCCAGGTATTCCCAGGTACATGAACTTACCTCCCATGAGATTTGAGGTCATGATCACTCCCCCGCATCGCACGGCATGCGACCTGACAAAGCAAACTGATCTAACCTCGTGCCCAAATCAGAAAACGAAACAGGATTGCAATCACGTTCCTTTCATCCCTGAGAAGAGTTTGCTCCCCCACCTCTGTCCGCAAGTTGAGCCACCACTGTATCCTGAGCACGGGTCGCAAGTCATTCAGCGCTGCAAATGCACCCAGCTCCCAGCATTGCAATGTCCAAAGTGTTTGGTTTTGCCGTTTTGCCAAGCAGCGGCCAATTTCTTTGTTGTGCAAAAGACCAAGGCTTTCCCAAAGGCCACGCATTTTGCATCTCCAGTTTCTTCACTTGTGCCCTGCTCCAGAGCACCTCAGCGAGGATCGAACATCAAAACAAAGTCACCTAAGCGCTGAGCCATTGGATGGACTTCGAAAACGACAAAAAACCATACAAAACCAATCAAAACCATCCTCGGAGATCTTTGCTGGACCAAAAATGACTTTTTCTGGGCCGAGCTTCTCAAAAGCTCGAGAAGACGCGCCAATTTTCGCTCTTCTCGCTTTTCCTGTTGCACCAAGTTCAGCCGATATACCCTTTACAAACCATTCTGAAAAGGTGTTGAGGATCATTGTATGCACATTTCCACATTCTGATCTTCACTCATCCTAAATTATTTGGAGATCTGCCACAACCAAGTGGTCGTGGGCTGTGTCCTCGCTCTCGTCATCGTCGAAGACCTCAACGATCTGCCGAATGTTCCTTGGGCTAGACGGCTGGACATGCTGACTTGGTTCCACAACCTATGGCAGACTCTGGAGAGTGGAACACATAGTGAATGAACAACGGCTTCTTGTCAACATCGCAAGCGACATGAGCCCTGTATCTGTGACCGAGATTGCACAGTAATTACCAAAGCTGCAGAGGTTCCGAGGGCAAGCTGACACGCTACCTGGCACAAGAATGCTGAGCACATGCATCTGTAGCAATACTGAAGCACCGTTGAAGCTGATTGGAAGGTCCTAAAAGATCAAATGTTCACCTTGGAAGGAGTGAAGTCCTGTCCGTGCAGAGCTTCCCGTACAGAATTCTGTTTGATCAAAGTTGGCAAAACCCCGAACTGCCGCTCCCGCGGTCAACCTTCTTGCATAGTACCATTCTCGCCAATCTGAATCACTACCTAAGCTTTTGAGCTGTACTGCGGGCCCTGAGAGCTAAGCAGAAAAACTGGAGAATCAAATGCAATGACGCAGTTGTCTGGGCACCAACATCAATCTTTCGGTTCGCACAACTGCACCACTGTTTCAACACATCACAAGTCACTCAAAACTCCGCGCAGTGGCGCAGTGCAGTCACAAGTGACGGGTGTGTGACGGCAAAACCGTCTGGCTTGCTCACCCACCTGTCAGAACATGACTTCCCAGAACAACCCCTTGATGCGAAGCATGCATGGTTAATAATGATGATCAATGATGATTATTGGGATGTTAATGATGATCAATTGTTATCAATTGTTCATAATGATGGCTAATGATGATGAATGATGAATGGTGAATGTTAATAGTGATGGGTTTTTTTAAGGGTCAACCGGTCAACCCAACAGCTGCGGACTGCGGAACCTTCTCCTCCCGCCAGGTGGCCGAAAAGAAAAGCGTCTGTCGCATGTGCGCCGTGCGCAGGGCCTTTCGTCGCATCTGGTGAAGTGCTGCACAGATGGTCAATGTGCTGCACAAGAAGACATTGATTCAACTTACAAGTGTATTATGTTATTATGTGTATTGATGTGTGTAGATACAATATATATATAGAGAGAGAGAGAAGAGAGATGAAGAGAGAGAGAGAGAGAGACAGGGCTACAAACACTCACGCAGTCTGTTCATGCTGGATGTATACACACAGAAGCAATGTCATTGTTCACGTTGGATGTATTCACAAAGAAGCAATGTCACACTACTTCAGCGCATGTATTCCCATGTCAACGAACACGCTTGAAGCCACATAGCCTTGCTAGCACAACATGAAATTGACCAAAGATAGGGTACCCAAAAATCCGGTGGTGCTCATGGCTGATCATCATATTCCGCAGATCGCCACAAAGTGGCGATAAATAACCCACTATTGGACAAGCCCGCACATTCATGTTGTATCTAGCCATTGTAACCCGTAGTTAACCCCCACTCTTTTTCCTGTCCCCGGGTCATTTTGGCGGTTAGTTAGAAGACTACTTACCTCTAAAGAAATGGGTGATTCTCAGGGTCTATCTTGGTTCAGGGATGGCAAATCATATCAAGTTGGTGACGAATCCCGTTTTATTTGATATCTTTACCCCATTCTTTCCCATCATATCCCATCAACTTAATTTAAAGTTCCCTTTTTTAACAAACCCATCCGCACAACTGGGTCACCCGGCAATGCCATCCAGTTGGTCGCCTAGCCCCTCCTCAAGCATCCTGCAACTGCACCGTATGTACTGGCGATATTCATTGGGAAGTGTGTGCGTATATATATATAATTATATATATATAATTATATATATAATTATATATATATAATTATATATATAATTATATATATATATAATTATATATATAATTATATATATAATTATATATATAATGCGTGTGTATGTATATATATATATACATATACATATGTGTCTATATGTATATATGTATATATGTATATGTGTATATGTATGTGTATATATGTATATATATGTGTGTATATGTATATATGTGTATATGTGTATGTATATATATACATACATACATACATGCATGTGTTATATAATATGTATATATATATTATATCTACGTAATGTATATATATTAATGTGTGTATGAATAGCCAAATTGATGTGATTTCTTGGTGTGTCTTAAAATAGGGTATACCGTATACCGGTATACCCCCAAGTTATGGCAAGTTAAATCAGGAAAATGATGATAAGCCATCCGATCTGGATGGAACTACTACCAATTTTCTGGGTGTGTGGCTTCGACTCATACGAATTTCCCCAGTGCGTGTGCCAAGTTTGGATCGAACTGTGCAAGGTCTCGGCACCAATGCTGTGAGTAGACATGGCTGATTCAGACAGCATTGCCAAATCACTCATTCGATTGGTTTAAGTATGTTTAAGTGAAAATCTACGGGAAACCATAGTTGTTACCTCCAATATGTCTGGGGGGTCTGGGGGGCTCCTGCAAATGTTCCCTTCGAACCACCAGTCCTATCACCTTCATCGAGCACCAAGACTCGCACACTGGCCAAAGGCTCACGGCCTAACGGCTGAGTGGCCAAGCATTTCGCCCATGTTCAACTCATCTTACTGGGATGATTAGCAGTCATGGTAGTCATGATGGAATTCGGGTAGCGTATGTTCAAACAAACCCAGATGCGGCTTGATGTGTTCTTGCCCTAAGGACTGGGAAAATTGAATAATCTGCGGAAGTTAAGGCTAATTCCCTGTGTGTCTCACCTGTGGAGTGCAACCCTCTGTGGGCCATCAGTGAACTGCTCACCTTCCTCTTCTTCTGCACAAATGAGATCCAATAGCCGTCCGGGCGCAGCACAAACAATCCAGCTACCACTTCCTGCGTTGCGGCCATCACTGGAGCGGCGTCTTCAGAAATTCAGCTTCGGCTTTGCTGAAAATGTGGCCCGCCCTGAAATTCCACTCTTCAAAAAACAGTGGTTCCAGTGGTTCCATCTTTTCCTATTTCACTGGTAAATTGAGGATTAAGGTATCCGAAACACAAATTGAGGGGTTGACCTGGGTTGAATCCTCCTCTGCCGAGAGGCCTGGTGCATCTCGGTGGCTGCCATAGCGCAAGTGCTTCTGTTGCTCTGGACGTGAGCCACCACCCCAGATGGAGACAACTGAGATGCGTTGCCTTGCGCAATGCATCAGAGATTGGCATAGAAGCGCCAAAATGCTGGTTTTTTATTATATCTTCATATGTGGGATTGAACCATCACACAATCAAAAACGGATCCCTTGAATGTGCAATCCATCTTACTTGCATCCTTCCACCGAGCCAATCTACGAGACTGCAGCACAAGACTATTGCATTGCATTTTCTGCATCGGCCAAATGTGTTTCCTGAGCTGCAGGCTCCAAGTCATCTACTCCAAATCCAGAGTCTTCATCCTGGCAGTGAACAGTTGATCCACCAACAGATCACGCAGGGTCATGTGCAATGCCAAGAGTGCAATACGGAAAGCTGCCTTCCCCAAAAGAGCATTTCCACAGGCGGCTACTTGCATTGCCAATTCCTGGGTTGCTCACAATCGACCCAAGCGAGTGCAGCCAACAAATGTTCTGATCAGGGTAAAAGCCTTCGCAGGAATTGGTCATTCGTATATTTCTGTCTTCCTTTGCTCCTATCTGGTGAAAGACATTGAGAGAGAGAGAGAGTGGTGCAATCAGTAGGTGCATGGGCCTGTGCCCGTCAAGACCAAGGTATGAGATTCTGCAGTCGAGGTACTCGAGTGGGCAAGAGCACTAGTCCAAATGGACCATGATGGGAAGGTGTTGACAAGAGCCGGAGCAGCATTGGCAGCAAATATGCCAAAGTCCTTGTGTTTTCGCACGGATAAACTTATCTGCCTAGTCATATGTTTTTCTGTGCCACCAATGCACCCCAGGTGTTTTTCTCTGGATCAAGATGGAAGTTTCAAGCAAGTTCTGCGTGATTGGCAATGCACTTCAGCTGCATTTCAGATTTGCCAAAAGAAACAAAAACTTCTGAAGCCTCAAGCTCGTGGAGTACAGTCAACTAGCTCTTTCGCTCTTGTGTAGCTGCGTGCTACAAATTCGAATCCAAGACCCACCCAAAATCCGGCAAGGGACTTTCCGCTGCCAGTGGCTGCAACTCCCACCAAATCATGACCCTCCAGGGCCAGCGGAACGGCTTCCCTTTGGATTGGTGACGGAGTGTGGAAGCCTGAGTTGCGAAGTGCCAAAGTGCCAGCGATTTTGGTCCTAAAATGGAGACCCCAAGATCAGTCAGGTTATCGGTAAATGTTGAGGGGAAACCAATGGTGAAAAACGGGTACCCCTTTGTGCTCAATGGGTGCATTCGGTTTGTCCTAGTAGATGTTCTTCCTTACCACTTGGTGTCACTTGCTGTGTGTTGTATATGGGTCAATGCCTACAATACCAGTGAAAGGGATCAACGTCCATTCAACAAGATTCTTCAAAACAAACTGCTACGTTTAGATCTATCAAATCTATCAAATCAATGAAATATTATATGTATGTCTACATATGTGTATATATATATATATGTATGTATATGTACATATTATACATCATGGTGTGGCCCTTTGGGTGTTGTTACTCCTCACCTCTTCTCCACTGGTCTCAACCACTGGGCCTTGGCTCTTGAGGCCTTGGGCGATGGTCTGCGGAAGCTTCAGCTGCTCGTACGTCCACGGCACGTTGGCCTAAAAAGAAACGTCTTGGAATAGCATTAGCCCCAACGCTACACTTGTCAAATATGAAGTACCTAAAATTTACATGGAAGTTATAATCCCATTCCTTGAGGAAATTGTGGAAATTGGTGTTCCGCGAATTTGTTCCTAGATTTTTACATTTGCGGCAATTGCTGTCTCATCTTCAACAGGGTCATATACAAACACCCTTCACACAGTTTGATCGGATCCCTTGTCAAACCACAGATTGCTCTTTCTGATGCTTTCAGCTGCCAGCTTCAGCTGCCAGCTTCAGCTGCCAGTTTCTCTCTTTGGCAGACCCTTGCTCAAGCCATCAGAATCTGGTAAGAAATAACTTTGCGATACGTTGTCACTTTCCACATTTCAGATTTTCCTGATTGCCGCCCTCTGGCCTCGGTATCCATCCAATCTGCCTGCAGAAGCGCATCTGGTGATACAGACTCCACATCCAGGAATCATCAAATAAGGTAGAATATAACCTCTATATATATATAACTATGGGTCTTATACAATCATACATATACATATATATATACATATATATATATACATACACATACATATATATATACATACATACATATATATATATACATACACATACATATATATATATATATGTACGATGGACCTTTATGTACTATTTGAACGTTTGCATGTCGAAAGGATTTTATTGAAATTATACCTCTTTCTGGAGAATCCCTACTAGTTAATCTATATACCAAAAAGAAAGAAATGGAATTCAAAAAATTCAAAAAATTCAAAAAAAAAATGAATACATATTTTTTTTTGAATTTTTTGAATTTTTTGAATTCCATTTCTTTCTTTTTGGGACTTTCATTGAAAATTCAAAAAAAAATAAATCCAATTGTTTTTGAATTTTTTGAATTCAAAAAATTCAAAAAAAAAGTGAATACATAATTTTTTTTGAATTTTTTGAATTCAAAAAATTCAAAAAATTCAAAAAAAAAGTGAATACATATTTTTTTTTGAATTTTTTGAATTTTTTGAATTCAAAAAATTCAAAAAATTCAAAAAAAAATGAAAGCCCAAAAAGAAAGTCTGTCAGTGGAATCAAAAAAAACATTCAAAAATTCAAAAAAAAACAACCCTGAATACAATAAGTTTTTTTTTGAATTTTTTGAATTTTTTGAATTCCATTTCTTTCTTTTTGGGACTTTCATTTTTTTTTGATTTTTTTGAATTTTTTGAATTCAAAAAATTCAAAAAAAAAGTGAATGCATATTTTTTTTTGAATTTTTTGCATTTTTTGAATTCAAAAAATTCAAAAAATTCAAAAAAAAAATGAAAGTCCCAAAAAGAAAGAAATGGAATTCAAAAAATTCAAAAAAAAAATGAATACATAATTTTTTTTGATTTTTTTGAATTTTTTGATTTTTTTGAATTTTTTGAATTCCATTTCTTTCTTTTTGGGACTTTCATTTTTTTTTGATTTTTTTGAATTTTTTGAATTTTTTGAATTCAAAAAATTCAAAAAATTAAAAAAAAAAAAAGTGAATACATATTTTTTTTTGAATTTTTTGACTATTTTTTTTGAATATTTTGATTTTTTTGAAATTCAAAAAAACAAAATATTCAAAATATGTTTTTATTGGCTAATTTTTTTGAATATTTTGATTTTTTTGAAATTTAAAAAATTCAAAAAAATCAAAATATTTTTGTATTGGCTAATTTTTTGAAATATTTTGAAATTTTTGAAATTCAAAAAAAACAAAATATTCAAAATATTTTTGTATTGGCTAATTTTTTTGAATATTTTGATTTTTTTGAATTCACCTGGCCCCAGTGCCTTGGCCCCAGTGCCACTTGGCCCCAGTGCCACTTGGCCCCAGTATATATATTTGAATTTTCAGAACTCAAAAAAAACAAAAAGATCAAACAAAAGTGAATACACATTTTTTGAATTTTCTGAATTGAAAAAGCTTAAAAAACA